GTTATTTTTCACTTTGTTACTAACAATTAAGATAAAAATTAAAAAGCTTGATATCATTGAAACATTTTTATTTTATTTATATTACTATCGATCTGTTTTTTTATCGACAGAAGCCACATGAAATAGATTTTTAAAATTTTTTATTTCCTCCAACTTAAAAAATTATTATGAACAAATGCGTTGTTTATAAGATAATTTAATTTTTTTTTTGAAACAATCTTTGATGCAAAATTTTTTTATTGCTTAAAAACGGATTTGTATTTTAACAATTTTTTTTAACCACTTGTAATTATTATTAAGGAACAATTTTTTTTAAATCATAATTTAGGTTTTTATTTATATTACTATTTATTCGTTTTTTATCATCAGAAGTCACATGAAAATTATTTTAAAATTTTTTTATTTCTTTTTTTTTTGAAACAATTTTTGATGCAAATGCAAAAAAATCGTTCTTTAAAAAAGTTTTTATTGCTTAAAAACGGATTTGGTAATTAACAATTTTTTTTTCATTTGTAATTATTATTATTAAGGAAACATTTTTTTTTTAATCATATTTTATCTTTCTCTTTGATAACTAAAAAAAATTGTTTTTATTTAAATTTTCATTGTTTATTTAATAAACAATGTGTTATAAACAATTAATTTTTTTTATATTTTTTTTTATTTTTCTACATGATAAAACAAAAACAACCATATAATATTTTTTGGAAAAAAATGTATTTATATTTTTTATCGAATTTTATAATTACCTTTAGCTGTAACCTGGTTTTTTGTCTTTTAAATTAATATAACTTATAAACTAATTAAGATACGATGAAAAAACTTAAGATTTATTTATTCTTTATTAATTAACAAATTAAGCCCATAATTCAAGCTCTTGCCCAATTATTTATTTAATTTAAAGCATTTATTTATAAAAAAGAACTATCAGAAAATTTAGTTACAGCTAATTATAGAATTCGATAAAAATATAAATACATTTTTTTTTCTCAAAAAATAATAAGTACATTGGGTATATTGAATAAAGAAAAGTATTACCTTGCAAGTCATAACTTATAAGAAAAAAGCTGAAACTACTAAGTAGAAGCTATTACTTATTTTTATTTGAATAAAAACTAGAACTCTCTCGAAAGTAAATACCAGAAAAACATCTTGAATTTTGAGTAATTACTTGTAAGTACTTACTTATATTTATAAGTATTTAATTTTTTCATTGCATATGTCGAATGAAATACATGGGAATGCAAAAGCAGCCTTGTAAACAAAAATTCATACTAAACAAGTCATGATAGGATTGTGTGCAACTGCAAGTAAGCATTTGTTTTCAAGTTTAAGCATTATGTCTAATGAATAAAGAAAAGTATTACCTTGCAAGTCATAACTTATAAGAAAAAGCTGAAACTTCTAAGTAGAAGCTATTACTTATTTTTATTTGAATAAAAACTAGAACTCTCTCGAAAGTAAATACCAGAAAAATATTTTGAATTTTGAGTAATTACTTGTAAGTATTTAATTTTTTCATTGCATATGTCGAATGAAATACATGGGAATGCAAAAGCACCCCTGTAAACAAAAATTCATACTAAACAAGTCATGATAGGATTGTGTGCAACTGCAAGTAAGCATTTGTTTTCAAGTTTAAGCATTATGTCTAATGAATAAAGAAAAGTATTACCTTGCAAGTCATAACTTATAAGAAAAAGCTGAAACTTCTAAGTAGAAGCTATTACTTATTTTTATTTGAATAAAAACTAGAACTCTCTCGAAAGTAAATACCAGAAAAATATTTTGAATTTTGAGTAATTACTTGTAAGTACTTACTTATATTTATAAGTATTTAATTTTTTCATTGCATATGTCGAATGAAATACATGGGAATGCAAAAGCACCCCTGTAAACAAAAATTCATACTAAACAAGTCGTGATAGGATTGTGTGCAACTATAGTGCAAGCTAAAGAAAAGGCATGGAAAGATCTCAAAGCCGAATTTATCAAAATTTCTGGGACAAATACTACTATTGAAAAGTCTACACTTTCACTTTTAAAACGCAACAAGAGCTTAGATTTGCTTGGGCAGATGCTTCTCTTTCTATAGTTCTTTCTGTTACGAACATTTATAAAGTCTATCATGTTTAACAAAGTATACTAGCAACTATCGTTGATAAAAAGGATGTTTTATAGCTACTCTAAAAATCATCAAGTTATAACTGACTAAGATAGATCTTATTTTTATTCAAATAAAAATAAGCCAGTACTGGAAAAATATAAGTAAATCCTTATATTTTAAGTAACTACTTGAAACCATAAGAGCTTACTTATGGCCATAAGTAATCTCTTTTACATGAAGTAGTCACTGACCTTTTATTGAATTTATACTGAGAAAATACTTAAATAAGAGGAAGTAGAAGCCAATACTTCTTTTTATTCAATAGACCCAATGTTTTTGTTTCATCATGTAGAAAAATAAAAAATATATATATAAAAAAAGTTTAATTGCTTATAACAAATTGTTTATTAAATAAACAATGAAAATTTAAGTAAAAACAATTATTTTTAGTTATCAAAGAGCAAGATAAATTATTAAAAAAAAATGATTCCTTAATAATAACGACAGGTGGAAAAAAATTGTTAATTAACAAATCCGTTTTTATGCAATAAACTTTTTTTTTGAACGATTTTTATTTTAAAATCATAATTTGCATCAAAGATTGTTTTCAAAAAAAAAAAAAATTAAATTAAATCTTATAAACAACGCATTTGTTTATAATAATTTTTTAAACAATAGGAAATAAAAAATTTTAAAAATCATTTTCATGAGGCTGCTGATGATAAAAAAACAGATCAATAGTAATATAAATAAAATAAAAAATTTCAATGATAAATGAAGTTTTTTAATTTTTAATGTAAGTAAATTGTTTATAACAAAGTGAAAAATAACAATTTTTTAATTTTTCCAACGGGAATCTCTTCTTAGACCGTTCAAAAACTGCTCCAAAAAAAAGAAAAAATCTCAGATTTGTTATTTAACAATTATCGCGCTTACAATGTTGATGTACAAGTAGGAAAAAATTGTTAATTAACTAATGCATTATTAATAGAAAAATCGCGATAAAAATATTTTGACCGCGGATTATTGTTCATTCATCTATCCAGTATATGCTGAATTTTTTCAATTCGTAATTTTCGTATTTAATAAGTTTAAATAATATGTCTTCATTAATGGTCCACAGTGAACGGAGCTTACGCAAGACAGAGTCTCCGTTTTCGGCCGTATTTTCAATTCTCTGGGAAAATTATAAATATTGGTCCGACAGTTCCGGTAGGTAGAACTTTTTGGTGGGAAATTTCTTCCCCCATTTGAATCTTTTCTTAAATTTGGAAAATGTCAAATAGTTTTTTGAGTTATTTGCAAAACCAACCCTATTTTTTTTTTCGAGTTAATTGTTTTTAACTTTTGCAATTTTTGCAAGCAGATCTTGAATTTTTTCAAAAATCATCTATTCACTATTCTGAATCGAATGACAACTCGTTCATATTTTTCGGAGTCGGAGAAAAAAGTTTGACCCAAAAAGTAGTGGGGTCTATTTTGTAACAATTCCTTTATATTTAACGGCCTTTAAAAATATTTTCTCCTGTACTTCTGTCATTATTTAAACGGATCTTTAAAATACATTAGAGGACTATCTTAAAGAAATCTGTTTAAATAATGATAGAAGTAAATTAACGAATACGAAACTATTTTTAAAGGCCGCCAATATTTTTAAAGGCCGTTAAATATAAAGGATTTGTTACAGAATAGACCCCAGTGTCGGATATTGGTACGTAGGTGAAATATACCTACAACTTTGTACAAACAAAAGCCTATTTTTTAAAAATTCAATTTACTTGCTCGTTAAAAAATTTTATTTTTGGTGTAGCAGCTAAAAGATTAAGTCTGTTCGACTTTTAAAATTTTACATGATCTGAGTTTAAACCGATGTAAGCCAAGTTGTCTTTGAAATGAATTTACGGTATCACCCTGTGTAGTTGCAAGAATTATACAATGGAACAAAATGCTTCACGTTGACTCCCTTAAAGAATATAAAAATTTCATGAAATTATGTCGGTTTGAAAAATCCATTAAACTTGTGAGATATTCTTTGTCATGTCCATTTTAGGAAATGCTACATTTCGTTATTTTGTAGAAATGTACAATAATATATTAGGACTGTCTCATCAACAAATCTTAAATCACAGATTAGACATTTACATCTTAAATCACGTTTTTATTTGACGTTTATATTATATGGTAAATTATTTCGTTTTATTTATTACCTGACTTTCATCATGCTATCAATGCCTAACGAATCGACTATAAATTAACGATTGAATAATTTTAATTTAATTTAAATGATTATATCGATTTATTGTAAAACAAATATGCTTTTTCGCACAAACACTATTTTTCTAATTTAATAATAATAATAATAATAATAATAATTATAAAATAGTGAAAATTAATTTTTGTTATAGATAATGAAACTATTAAGTTTGATACGAAAGTAAATTATCTGAAGAAGCACTGCTTTTTCATCCTACTTAAAAAATATCCGGTCATTAACTATTTATAGTTCTGGTTTAGATATACCATATGTTTCTATAATTATAGTTATTCGGTATTTTGTACCGTAAGAGAGAAGTAAAATAACATGTTTTACAATAAGTTGGAATCCGTAAAGAATGAATTATATTTACACTCACGTGCATATACACATATCCACTGAGTTCGGTTTTGTTTATTTTATTGGTATTATAATTTTCTGAATTTATGAGTTTAGCACACAAACCTGAATAATTGTGTTTTGCTTTTCATCTATAAAATGTATTATTAAAAGACCACAAATGTTAGACAATATAATACCTAATCTAAAGCTGTTTATGTTTCTATTGCGCTTTTTGAAACACCTACGTTTGATGTTTAACGCATAATATTTTTGTAATCAATGTTTCGTTAATTTCAGCTAGCGACAAACCCGATTTAGGGCTAGAAGAACTCCAAAGCCTAAATGTCAAAGAAAGGTTCCAGGTATTTGAGCAATACCAGTCAGAATCCCAAGACTTGGATAGAGGTCCTGTCAACGTTAAAAAGAGTCCTTCCATTCTATCCAAGTTAGCAAGGTAAATCATTCTTTTAATCAAATATTCTTAATTGAATCGGTGAGTCCTAGAACCGTATTTCAAAAGTAGACATTTCGAATTAACATAGCTATTTTGTTTAAAATATATATTCCATCGATGAATCATAAAAATTTGTATGTGCATTATAATACTTTAAAACTAGTAAAAAAAATAGTAATTTATTAGTTTTCTCAAATTGTGTTCTTTGAACTTTACGGCTTTCGAATTCACCGATTTAATTATACAGCGTGGTCCAATGAAAAGTATCCTACCCCCCTTTTCTTGATTCCCTTAGATTTAAAGAAGAAATGCTCGGACACGTCGATTTTTGTTTCGAGGAGGACACATTTATTGTTTCCTAATTGCATCATTGACATTTTAACCCTCGAGCAGTGGGGTGAACAATCCCTAGAATTTAGATAGGGAAAGTACTAAGTGTGACACATTTTTGAAAAGGTAATTTTATAAGAAATTCAGTAATGGCAATATTCCGATATTAGCGCCCTCTTGAGGGTGAAAATTATGCACCTAGAAGCAGAAATGCTTGGACACGTCGATTTTTGTTTAGAGCAGGACACATTTTTTTCTAATTTCAGCATCGACGCTTCGACCCTCGAATATGGGGTGAACAACCCCTAAAATTTAGATAAGGAAAGTACCAAGAATGGCACATTTTTGAAAGGGTAATTTTATGGAAAATTCAAGTGTCCCTAAAGAAAATTATCCAGCAGCGATAAATCCGGTGACCTTGCAGGCCATTCAATTGGGCCTCTCTTTCCAATCCACTGTCCAGAGTACCGGTTATTTAAAAATTCTCTTACAGCACCAACATCATGATTTGGGTTATTTTCTAATATTTCCGTTATAAGAGGGTAGATTTCATCTTTAAGCATGTTTAGGTACACTTCACCAATTAAATTTCCAGGAATGAAAAACGTCCTATAATATGCCACATTAGCCATTTATTTTTTCAGGGTGTTGGGTATAATACTCACGGAATAAATGTGGGTTACTGTCATCCCAGTAACGGCAATTGTGCCTATTGAAAGCTCCATTCAAATGAAATGTACACTCATCGGAAAAACAAATATTAAATAATAAGTCAGGATCTGCAATTAAATACTGGCTCATTTCTTCACAAAACTGCAGCCTTCTATCAGGATCATCCTCGTTCAGCTCTTGTACTAATCTAGTTTTGTACGGATAAGGTTTGTGAGCTTTTAAAATCCTTATTATAGATGAACGAGAGACATTCGAGACTTCAGCTAGTTGAGTAGGGGAGAGTCTGGAACAGTGGCCACCTTTTTTACAAAATAAATCAAATAAACCAGAGTTTCCACTTTTTACTAAATCTGTTATGATTAGACAATAGAAAGGGTATTTATCCCATTAAAACTAAATTGCGGAGCTGAAAAAATTAAAACTACTAATAATATTAATTTTGCAAAACGATGATTTAAAATGGCCACTGTACCAACAATGATGGTACACTGGCCACCTTAGTGTGGTACAGTGGCCATTATAATATTTTATAGTGGACACAATTTTTCTAAGGAATAGGTATTATACAGGGAGTTTGTAAAAGGTCTTTACAAAAACATACCACATATTCCTTAGACCAAAATAAGTCGATTTAAGTAAAATTACTTTAGTACAAAGTTGCTTCATTTGGGCTCCAGAGGGCCTTGAACTTACAATTTTTAAATCGTTTTTCCCATATAAATTTAAAACGGCATAAGCGATTTTGCTGAAATTTGGTATATTGGTAGAGTTTTATGTGGCAAAAATATGGTATTAAAATTTTGTCCGATAATAATACATAGGCGTAGAACTTGATTTTTTAAATAATTGCACCTTTAAAAATTCTACGCCAATAGAAGAAAAGGAGTTTGAGTATGAAATTTAGATTGCGCAACTCATTTACTTTAAAAAAGGTACTCTTGATAAGTTAAGTTTGTTTGTTGCAAACTTCATAAGAACAAAAGTCCAGAGCAATATTTGCTATATCATTTATAATTGCTTCGTTATCTTTATCTGATTCAGCAAAAAAGTCCTCTACATCATCGAAATCGGTCAATTCCACATCCATATCGCTGTCACTTGAGCTTTTTTCAAGTTCTTTGTCAATCGTTTATTTTTTTGCTGGTGGATCGTTCAGACAATCACCCAGTTTCCTTTTTATACCAGACTGTTTTTGTAAATTTTGTTTTTCTTGCTTTCTTAAATTTTTCTTCTTCTTCAAGTCTTTTGTAAATAGGTGCGCTGGTTAATATTTCAGATTTTATCTTTTTCCTTTGATGTTTTTTAACAAAAATTGCAGTCGCAGAAGGATACGGCTTTAATTCAACTGGTAAAATAAATTGCTTCTCGGGAGTTCTGCTTCTTATTTATGAAAAGGTTGATGGCACTACTTCAGATTGTTTTGCTGCTTCAGATAGATCTTGTTCCTTAGCCTGATTTTCCACTATTTTATCTAAAATTTCCTGCGTATCTGTAACTGTCGCTGCCATAAAATCTTCGTCATTAAAAATATTGTCATTAAACGGGTATATCCCAGTGGACCGGAAACCCGATACATAATTTCGAGGAGTGAAAGCTAGGGGATACGATTATTCTAAAATCTCTACAATATCATAAATCATAATTCTTATTCCTGGATTGTTCAGCAACCACGTCGTGCAGCATTGATAATAAAAAAAATTCAGGGGGAAATCAATAGATTTGTCCAATGGCTGAAGATTGTGGCTAGTATGAGGCGGTAACGTTAATAGTATTACATTATTTTCTTTCGCTAATTTTATTGTTTTCATTGAAATATGGGGTTCATGGTTGTCCATGATTAGTAATACTAGCGATTCGGGTGTTGGTTTAGTGTGTTTTATGAAATGATTTAGCCATTGCCCAAAAATGTCCGTAGTTATCCATCCTGACGGTGATGCTGTTCCAACAGTTCCAGAGCATTTTTTAACATGTAGTCTTTGAATTTTTTTCTTGGAAATACAAGATGTGGCGGTATATTATTTCCAATTGCATTGATACAACCACACATAGTAACTAGAGTTCCCCGCTTACTTGAGGTTATGTGTCCAACCTGTTCTTGACCTTTCCTTGCAAGAACTTTTCATGTTTCTTGCACAATAATAAGGCTAGTTTGTAATGAAGTCAATTTTCCTCAATCAATTTATTTTCATTTTTAATAAATTTTTAACGCGTTTGAACTGTCGATCCGAAGTATCGATGCGGTGGGTCTGAACGTAAGTGGGGTTGCTATTGGGAGAGGGAATCTACACTGGGTAAACGAGACCCGAGATGCGATTAAAATTAGACATGGGTAACGCACTAAAATTCTTTGCGTTGATACACTAACTCCGGCGCACTCTATTGCGCCAACTCATTGCGTTAACGCAATTGCGTTATTGCGTCACACCACTGCCTGCACCGAATGAAGTCGATGCACCTCGGTGTATCGCATGATACCGGTGTTATTCAGCGCGGGCTGTCCTTTTTTTATAAGGGTCAAACCGTGTTTAAGGCAATAACGCAATTGGGAATTTAACTAATTTTTTTTTATTATATGTTTAAAAATAAACGAAAATATAACAGTGTAATCCACCCATTCTTTTATTTCATTATGTTTGGATTTTACAAAGAATACAAAAATTCCAATTTATATAAAAAGGATATCACTTTTGTATAATAGTAGCCAATCAAAATGGGAAGAACTAAAAACTGACAGTAAACAAGGTTAAAATCCATAAAATTGGACCTACAATCCTACAAATGATGTGACATGTTGCAAAGAACATAATTACTTGATAGATTTTGGGTAATCTGCATTACGAGTTGCATCAATTACGTAAATTAAAATTTTCACTCGTCACGGAAAACGGAATCAGTGCCTGGGCGCATGGCGCATCAACAACTCGCGATCCTTTCGACTCAGTATCGAAAATTGCGTTGCGCTGATACAGTAACAGCTGGTGTATCAACGCTCGTAACGCATAAAACTGCGTTAACCCAATAACGCAGCGCTGCGTTACCCATGTCTAATTAAAATTATGAGTTCGATATAATTTTTGGTTGCCAGCAGTTGAGTCTAATAAGCCGCATTAGAAATCAAATCACCGTCGATATTTTTTTCATTTTTAACCGACTTTAAAAAAGGAGGAGGTTATTAATTCGTCGCGATATTTTTTTTTATGTATGTTCAGCCATTATTCTTTAACACGGTGTCCGATTTCAATGACTCTTTTTTTGTTAGAAAGGGGGTATTTCAGGGGTGGTCCCATATAAATTTAGTCAAAATCTAATAATTGGGTCCATGAGAAAATCCTCAAACTCTTCATTTTTTATGTATGTTCAGCGATAATTTTTTAACACGGTGTCCGATTTCAATAATTCTTTTTTTGTTAGAAAGAGGCTACTGTAGGGGTGGTCCCATATAAATTTTGTCAAAATCTAATAATTGGATCCATGAGAAAATCCTCAAACTCTTCATTTTTTATGTATGTTTAGCGATAATGCTTTACCACCTTGTCCGATTTATACGATTCATTTTTTGTTAGTAAGGGGGTACCTCAGGGGTGGTCCCATATAAATTTGGTTAAGATGTGGCATCTGCACGTTTTTGAAGTCGGTTTTTTTAAATTTTTAATTTGTAATACTTGTTCCGTGTATTTACAAATCCGTTAGGTAAAAAACCTTGTTCCGCTTTTTACGTTTGAAATTGATATTTTAAAAACCGAATTAGCTTGTAGGAATGAACATTTTCAGATGGTGTTTAGTTAAAAGATTTAATTTGATTTAAATAATAAATATTAAAAATTGTTTCTTGGTAAAATATTACCGTTTTTTTTATAGTTAGTGTTTAGATAAAAGATTTAGTTTGATTTCCTTAATAAACATTTGAATTTATTTCTTGACAAGTATACCGTTTCTATAAAAAGGGATAGAATTTGAATTAAATATTAAATGATAGGATTTAATTCTGTAATATTGTA